TCTTACAATGTTCCAGCAGGTATATCATATATCTTACAAGGTTTCAGCAGGTATATCATATATCTTACAAGGTTTCAGCAGGTATATCATATATCTTACAAGGTTTCAGCAGGTATATATCATATATCTTACTAGGTTTCAGCAGGTATATATCATATATCTTACAAGGTTTCAGCAGGTATATATCATATATCTTACAAGGTTTCAGCAGGTATATATCATATATCTTACAAGGTTTCAGCAGGTTGTTTGCTTCCAGTTCCTCGCGCGATGCTTCCCAATACTCAACCTCATCGAAGCTGGCGTCTGCTGAGCGAGGGCGCCGGTGTCCGGTCGTCCAGCCGATGTAGACGGCCGAGTCAGTGGGAAGCTCAAAATTTCGCTCAGTCACCGTCGACGACCTGTCCACCCTCTCGCCGTCTAGATACATGGACAGCCCTCGTTGCCGGTGCCAGGAAATCTCCAACAAGTACCTGCACAACATCCACAGTTACAACGCGTAAACACACACAAATGCCAGATACGCGTACCGGCAGCGTTCACAGTTACAACGTTATATCAACACAGACAAATGCAAGCGTACGAGTACACTTGTCTACACTGATGTCTTATAGACGATAGAGATACTGAAATTCACGATTGCAAATTATAATTTTTTTAAATACATATATAAATAGTACCTATGCTATGATGAACGTAGCTAAATTTTAGTGGATACTATAGAATATCTATAACATAATTATAAATTCTAGATATTCTATAGTATCCACTAAAGTTTAGCTACGTTCATGATAGCACAGGTACTTGATACTGACGAAGATAACGACAGCAATGATCACACGTACGCCAGTGAGATTGTCAGTGATGTAATAAACACGCCGATAAATCCAGCCACACACTACGAAGTGTACGAGTCACTCACCACTGTCCCGGCTCTATCTGGTCCGTGGAGACGGTCCACACGTTCTTGCCTTCGACGAAGACGGCATATAGCTTGTTGTTACGGTAGTAGACGTTGTAGGACGGCGAGGAGAAGTAGTAAGAGTTGTCACGCAACGTGCCAAAGTTGATGTAGCTGGACAGACTAAAGCCGTGCGGGCAGCGTTCGAGGTTACCGATGCACGACTCTGAGTGGTTGCCTAGGTTCAGGTACTGTCTCGCGCCCGACAACTGAAACACGGGATGACGATAGAAGATTGTAGAGACGGTAGAGGATTTCGTGTGCTGTGTAATTGGGTTAGTCCGACCAGCTATTGGGTGTTTTTGGTTAGTTCAGTTTAACCACGTGTTCTAGGATGTTTGAGTTTTGTTAGTTGTTGCAAGTTTCAGATCGACATAATTTATGATGTTGTCATTCCTATTGAATAAAGTGATATCTGAAAACAGGAGGTTGCTGAAGGCATTGAAGCTTGTACCAGCCATGTAATGTATGTGATTATACAAACACATACATATATATATATATATACATGGATGGATGGATGGATGGATGGGATGGGATTGGATGGATGGATGAATGGAAGGATGGATGGATGGATGGATGGATGGATGGATGGATGGATGGATGGATGGATGGATATGATAGATAGATAAGATAGATAGGATATAGATAGATAGATAGATTATGATAGACTAGACTAGAATAGATAATAAGATGGATAGATAGATAGATTATAGTTAGCAGAACGTCTAACGTTAAATGGGGAAAAACAATTTCCCCGCCCCTACACCAGGTGAGAGCTGCCAACCAACGAAATATACCGTTCAGCGCAGTAGTTTTTTCTTGCCCGTGAGCGAGGCGTGCGTCTCCCGTGACACTCGATGGTGAGGTTGGGCGTGAGGCCTCGTGTCTTCCCCTTCAGCACGTCCATGGAAGGTGCTGGCTCGGTAGTTACCCTATAGGAAATCATCCCTAACGATCAAACGATTATAAACTGGCAGAGTATTGTAGTACGAGTAATTGTGGTATTATGTGATGTTACTGTGGGGCACCTACGGTTGGCTCAAAAGTCGAGTTGTTTGCCAGAGCCGGAGAGCCGGGCCGAGGATGAGCAATTCGATGTGAGGACAAAGCCTTCATGGTATCCAGGTAAATTATTCTTCAGACACACGTGAATCGCCTGTCTGCCACCTAACCTCCTGAGGATGAGACCAGTGGATGTTGAGCAATACCAGCGGCCAGCATTCCACAGCTGTACTCATCCAAGTGCCCTTCCGCCGTACCGCCGGAACGTCTCCTGAGAGTTGCCTCGACTACAAACGCAGGCAGGGACATATCTTGACCTCTTCATATTTGGCATTATACATGGCAAAGCAACCGCAATGGTAACGATACTACGTATCTATTAAATAACATAAATGATGATAACTATGACAATTAATTAGAACCACTTATCATTTAGTACACTATTTTGTGACGTAAGCACAAGAGCAAATTTAAAGCAACAAGTTTATAAATGGTTATTTTTCTTAGGGTGGATGAGAAAAATCTGGGCTACCAGAAGACTAAAATATTCCAGTTGTCACAAAATGTAGCATTTTATTGACTAACATGAGCAAGGTTAATTTGATCAAAGAAACAAATTTAGGTAATATAACATCAGGTTTATAACTAATTTGGTTTTACCACGGGTGCAACACGCACATTTAACTCTGAATGCAATAGTGAGGAATGTGAGCATATATACCACATCAACACCAGGGAATTAATGCTGAGCAGTGAATGAGATGGTGACGTTACTGATGAAGGTAATGTGATCTGGATCGTGCGCGAATGCTTCGGACGAGTAGCAGTCCCGGCCGACCCTTCACTATGGCATCCCATACAGCCTTAAGGCCTGCAACACGAACATGCCACAGTCTCAACTACCGCTCGCAGTACCCTCGACACTACACCTAACTTCGTGTACACTCCGCACTCAACTCTGCACCTCGAAACCCATGTCTCAGCGAGACCCTGGTGTTCTGTCTGTCTCACTGAGACACTGGTGTTCTCTACGTCTCAGTGAGACACTTGTGTTCACTCTGTATCAGCGAGACACTGGTGTTCTCTATGTCTCGGCCTGCCACTGACACCATCTCACCTTGAAATGCTGGCTCCACCCAAATCCCTAATGCCAGCACACCATAAGACTTACCTTGTGACACTGGTGCCCCTAAATCTTACCCCAACACTGGCACTCTTTATATCTCGCCCCGCCGCTCATACCCCGCGTCTCACTCCCGACGCTGAGGCTCCTACGTCCCCACCTGAAGACAGCGCATTTAACGACTCCGCCGCCGCACCGCTCATACCTAAGCGCTGCCAGCGCTCCCCCGCTGCCAACGCGCCCCACCGATGCTGCCACCCCCACGCCTGCTCCTACCTCCCTGCCTCGCCTCACCACCCCACGCCTCGCTCCTACCCTAACACCTCGCCCATCCCCCCCCCCCCCCTCTGTCGCCCCCACCCTCGCTCCCACCCTCATGCCTCGCCTCCCCACCCCACGCCTCGTCCTACCCTAACACCTCGCCCATCCCCCACCCCTCTGTGCCCCACGCCTCGCTCCCGACGTCACGCCTCGCTCCCAACCCACCCCCGCCTCCCGTCGTCGCTCACCGGTGACGGGATGCCAGGAGACGTCGACGAGATGCCACGTGTTCTGCTGCACGTTGCCCGCCGACACCTCCCACTTGCGTCCGTTGGCGTTCACGGCGGCGTGCAGCCGGCCCGCGGCGTAGTACAGCGAGTAGTAGGGTCCCGAGAGCAGGTAGGCGTTCCCGTCGAGGTTCTCGATCTTCGCCCACATCGTGAACATGAAGCCCTCGGAGCAGGAGCCGCTGGCGAAGCAGGTGGGCAGCACGCCGAGGTCAACATACTGCCGCCGCCCGTCGAAGTGCACCGCGCCGGCGATGACGCCCGCGACGGCGTCCGGTCGCCCGTGCGTCGTGTAGCCCGACAGGCTGCCGGCGTCCATCGAGACCGACGTGTGGCCGATGTCGCCTGGAGAGGTAAGCGGCCGGTGAGGAAGGGAAAGGCGTATGATGCAGTCAGCAAACACTCACAGGCACGTCGTCGCTTCACACTATTACTATGAAGATGTTGGACTAAAGTCGAATTATATTTTTCTTATTTTTTTATTTTATTTATTTTATCTTTATAGATTGGACACTGTAATGTCTATGTAAAGTTCATAAAACTATTTATGAGAGACACTTTTGGAGTTTCTTATGAGTGGCATTCATACAACGAAACTTGACAATAAAGCACACTTTTAGGATTTTCCTTGAGTAGCAGTTATACATTGAAACCACCTTAACAGATGGGATACTTGTACTGAAAGACACTATTATGGTTTCCCTTGTGTGACCTCTTTATACAAGTTTATACAGGAATGCAGCTGTTGTGCAAACCCTCCTTTTATGTCTGTTTACCTCGTTTGACGATATCAAAGGCAAGCAGGTAGTCTCTGTGGGCTTTCCAGAACTGTACCTGGTCCACCACTAGCTCCTCGTAACGAGAGTTACCTGTAGATAGACAGCATCAGCTATAGTGCTAACGAGATATACCTGTACAGATGCAAATAACCAGTGCAGACAAGTTGTTTAAACTCAGCACATGGATAAATGTAAACCTTTTGAATACATTTTGAATTTTAGGGAAAGAAAAGAGCTACATATGACTTAATAAGAAATCTAAGGCACAACACCAAACTGGACTGGCACCAACAGAAATGCTTCCCTCAAAGCAGTGTTATCAGGGCTACTCACTTTTCATTAATACTTTGTACATGCAGGTGAAAAGGAATACATACACAGTACGCAAATCATAGGAAAGGTACAGAGGCACACCAGGTATGGCAGCCGTCTGCGGTTTGTTACCCTAAATATTTTTCAATAAATCAATCAGTGAGGACAGCAAGCAAGGAGAGTAAGGAGGGAAACCAGAGCCTGACAGGTCAATCTCTCTCACTCACCGACGGTCAGCAGGCCGCGTCGCTGCGCGGTGTTGGGCTGCTCCGTGTAGCCGACCTCTGAGTCAACCTTGCGGTCGTTGACGTACAACTCGAGGCCGCTGTCCGGGTGCCACGTGACGTCGACGCGGTACCACGTGTGCGCGTCCAGCCGCCCGCTGCCGATGCTCCATGACTTCGTCTTGGTGTTCAGATTGGCAACCACCCTGGTCCCGTCGAGGATCAGCTCCCAGTACGGGCCGGACAGAATCTCAACCTACGCAAGGAACACAATGCTGGAATGTCAGATGATGTCGAATGGATGGATGAATGTTGGAACATGTCTGTGCTCGAACGCACATAACACATTGTAATACGCGAGACTATGGAACGAGCGGCACATTGCAAAAAGTAGCACAATGGGAGAACACGCAATAAGTTGTGGGAACACGCTATGTGTTGCGATAATGCATGACATATTGTGGAAACACGTGCCATGTTGCAGGAACATGTAATAGCTGTGATAACGTGTGACATGTTGTGACAATGCGTGACAAGTTGCGGGAACACGTAACACGTTGTGACAACACGTGACACATTGTGAGAGCACACGACACATCGCGACACTACGTTACACATTGTGACACTACGTTACACACTGTGACACCACGTGGCGTGTCGTGACACCGCACGTACCTGGCGACCGAGGCGGGGGAACATCACCCACAGCGAGAGCGTGAATCCCTGCTGACAGAGATCAGGGTTTCCCAGCCAGCTGTTGCTCTGCTCTCCCAGGTCGACGTAGGATCCGTACGCGCTGCCGCGACCAAACTCCAGCGCGTTGCCGATGACTCCTGGAGTGATCGTCGGGTTTCCGTGCACCTTGGCGGGGATAGAGCTCCCCACCACCTCTCCAGCACTGACTCCCTCCATGGCTAGCACCTCATGCGACACATTACCTGTGACGAGAACGCGTATGTTACACCCGAAAGATCACTGAAGATTTTTTATAATTTAATTTAAAATTTAATTTTAATTTTAATTTAATTCTTTTTCGTAATTAGTTATTTTTTAATTAATAATTATATATCTAACTTTTTCTCATTTTCATAGTCTGAACTTAAACACAATGATAGCTAAACGGCAAAGAACATACGGGACCCATGACAAAGATATTATCATTATCGAACACGTGAGCAGCTCGATAAACTGCAACTTAAACGCATCAACAGCTTAACATAAAAACAGCTACACCTAATACTTAACATATAAAGCTATACATAATAAAAAAAGCTATAACACATTATAAAGCTAACATATATTAGATAACACTAAGGTACAAACAAGCAAACACCTCTCACCTCGCACGATCTTGCCAAACGCCAGCAGGGTGTCACGCGTCGCGTGCCAGTACTCCATCTCATCGATGCTGAACGCTCCGTACTTGGTGCTGCCCAGCTGTCGGTTGATGCGACCCAGGTAGACGGACTTGTCACTGATCGTCGTTATCTGCTCGGTGGGCGTCGTGTTGCCGTCCGTGCGCTCCGTGTCGACGAACATTTCCAGGCCACGGTCGGCATGCCACGACAGTTCCACCAGGTACCTGCATGTATATAAAGGTTGTGTATAGATAGATGTACACTAGTCACGACAGTTCCACCAGGTACCTGCATGTATATAAAGGTTGTGTATAGATGTACACTAGTCACGACAGTTCCACCAGGTACCTGCATGTATATAAAGGTTGTGTATAGATGTACACTAGTCACGTCAGTTCCACCAGGTACCTGCATGTATATAAAGGTTGTGTATAGATGTACACTAGTCACGTCAGTTCCACCAGGTACCTGCATGTATATAAAGGTTGTGTATAGATGTACATATGTTTAGGCGAACACTAACCATGACAGTTATAGTGTGCAATGTAATATAGTATATAATATCAAATAATAGTAATACAGTAATTAATAGCATATATAATAATAATATTTATAATACATAATGGTTTACAATAGTTATAGAGTATAAATAGTGTATAATAGTTATAGAGTATATATTTAGTGTATAATAGTTATAGAGTATATATATAGTGTATAATAGTTATAGAGTATATATATAGTGTATAGTAGTGGCCGATGATGACTCACCATCTGTTGGGAGTGAATCGCTCTGACGTTGTCACCGTCCACGTCTTCGTGCCCGTACTGTAGATGGCTGTCAGCTGACCCCGGTTGTTCACGAACACGTTGTAGGAAGGCGTCGAGATGATGTACTGCAGAGGCCGGAACGTGCTGAAGTTCACCCAGAATGTCAGCGTAGACCCGTGATGACACAGGTCAAGGTTGCCGAAGCAACTGTCCGTCTGAGGCCCGAAATCCACGTACTGGTTTTCTCCTATTAGGCACAAAATAGCAGTGGTTGGCATGAAAGGTGTAAAAATAGGTCATATAAAAAAAACGTAACAAGTTTTGAGAAAAGACTAAAAGATAAAATGAGAATATTGCTTACAGGGCATTTAATGTCACAGAGAAAGTTAAGTTGCCAATAAATGCGTAACATAAATTTAGTAAATTGACGTGTTTATAGTAGGTATAATGGTTCTTGGTATATAGCCTAAAGGCTTAATACGTACGTGCATGCCATGTGAATAGACAACACTCACAGATCTACGTCAAGGTCACACGTCTACACCAATGTCTGACATTTACATCACCCTGGTGATCATCTTAATAATTCCACATGCAGCTCTAATATCTTAATAAATGTCCAATTTATGTGTCGAGAAAATTCATTCAATGACTAATTGCACCACTAATTAAGTAGTTTTGATATTTCAACAATTGTCAAAAACTTAATGCAGACAAAGCTGTCTTTAAAGGACATTGTTGACATTGCCTTTGAGCGACAGTTACATACACATTCGATTGTAAGACAGTGAAGATGAAATCTTACCATTCAGCTTAAGAGCCTTGCTGATTTTTCCACGTACAAACTTGGGATTTTCGTAGAGCAGTGCCTTGTATTGCATCTCATCCGGGTGATGTAACTTGTTGCCATCTGCACTGTCCATCGGGAATCTATTCACGGGCAGCGTACCTACGGAGTAATAGTAATAACAATAATAATAATAAAAATAATAATAATAAATATAATAATAATAACAAGTGCCGCAGAGCGACAGCGCTCACCTGACGGCAGGTGTTCTGATGCTAAACTCACTGGCAAACGAATCAAGAGCACCCTCCCATCGCCGCGTTCGCTCTCCCTCGTTGTCCCTCTCATTCTTTCTCTTTTGCTCTCTCGCTCTTGCTCTCTCTCTCTCTCTCTCGCTCGATCACACACACTCTCTCTCTCTCTCTCTCTCTCTCTCTCTCTTGCTCTCTCTTCCCTTCACGCTCTCTCTCTCCCTCTCTCTCTCTCGCTCGCTCACACTCACTCTCCCTCGTTGTCTCTCTCTTTCTTTGTCTTTGTCTTTCTCTCTCTTTCTCTCTCTCTCTCTCTCTCTCTCTCTCTCTCTCTCTCTCTCTCTCTCTCTTTCTCTCTCACTCTTTCGCGCGCTCTCTCTCTTTCTCTCTCTCTC